TAAATTATGGCTGTGCAAATAAATAACATGCAGTTTTCGAAAATATTGAAAATGCTTTACTTCTGTTGCATTTTAAGTCCCAGACACATCGTTTTTATCCATAGATCGGTTACGAAGCGCGTGTTTGTATCATCAATAAGAGTGCTGGTGAAACGGATAGAATAGTTGTTAAATAAATAACCCAATAAAGGTTAAAAATAACCCAACAAAGCACTAAATATTTTTAACTTAACCATTGGGTTAAATAAATAACAACGTTTTTTAGTGTGTGTAAAACATATACTGGAATAGTTGGCGGTTCATTCCACTTTGGCGACCTCTGAAATAGAGACTAAGCTGATTGAATATTAATGAATGAATTGTCACAACTCAGTTTTACTTTCTTTGAAAAAAAAGAAGATATTTTGAAAAATGTTGGAAATCTGTAACCATTGACTTCCATAGTGTTTTTTTAACTAAGTCAATGATTACCAATTTCTAACATTTTTCAAAATATCTTCTTTCGTCTTCAACAGAAAAAGAAACCAGTAAATAGTGAGTAAATTAAGATTTTGAGGTGAACTATCCCTTTAAATTTCTGTTCTCTTTTTTTTACAGACGTACATTTCTGAGGTCTGAAAGATTCTCCTATGACAGATCTCCCATGTTAGATATGACACTGGTGATTTACATCCTGATCAATCGTAAGTAATCATATAATATATAAAACAAGCTTGTGCATGATGACATATAGTCAATTCCAGGATGTTTCAATTGGAGAAAGATCTATGTAACTATTGGATCTCCGTATGCACAGTCGTTCTCGATGGCGACATTGTACCAGTTTCCTTTTCCTCCTTTATAAGCACTGGTGACAATCCTGGCCCAGCCTGATTCGCCCTATGACAGAGAAAAACACAAAAATATAACTCTTTTTAATAAGTTTATTTGTAATGCGCTTTTTTCTTTAAAGTCAAAGCACTACAAGGCAAAATACTAGCAATACAAAGCAAGCAAAACAGCACAACAATAAAAGATGCAATAAAACAATAAAAATATGGACCTCAAGATAGAATAAAGTTAACAAAATGATCATCCTAAGTTAAAAGCAATGCTAAAAAGTTGAGTCTTAAGAAGTTTCTTAAAACAGTCCAGAGAGGCAGTATTCCTAAAGGCTGATTTATACTTCTGCGTCAAACACCGGCGTAGGCTACGGCGCTGACGCATAGCCCTTCGCAGTGGCCGTCGCCGTCACTGACGTGCACCTCTCAAAAATTGTAACTACACGTCGCAACAACGCGTAGCGCAAGCTCTGTGATTGGTCGGCTTGCTAGCGCCGACGTGTCTGGGCGGGACCGAGAGCGCGAGCGATTGTTTACAAGTGTGGAGTCCCGTGAAGGAGCTCTGGATGGAAAGTTTTGTTCTGTGTTTACCTCATGGTTAAAGTTGTTGCACGTCCGCCGGTTCCTGCCTCAAAATGAGCGAGTTTGAGTCACTTGTACATCCAGGAAGTGTTCAGAATAGCAAAACAGAAGCGAAGAAACTCGACACAGGGGAACATTTACACCTCACTGCCCACTAGCATTTCGGAAGTGTTAATGCAGACCAACGGAGACAGCGCGCAGAAGTATAAATGCACAGCCACGCGCGTTGCCTGCGCCGTGAGTTGCGCCGGTCACTTGACGCAGAAGTATAAACCAGGCTTAATGCTGATGGGGAGTGCATTCCACAGCTTAAGGCTGATTTATACTTCTGCGTCAAACACCGGCGTAGGCTACGGCGCTGACGCATAGCCCTTCGCCGTGGCCATCGCCGTCACTGACGTGCACCTCTCAAAAATTGTAACTACACGTCGCAACAACGCGTGGCGTAAGCTCTGTGATTGGTCGGCTTGCTAGCGCCGACGTGTCTGGGCGGGACCGAGAGCCGCGCTATTGGCGCGAGCGATTGTTTACAAGTGTGGAGTCCCGTGAAGGAGCTCCGGATGGAAAGTTTTGCTCTGTGTTTACCTCATGGTTAAAGTTGTTGCACGTCCGCCGGTTCCTGCCTCAAAATGAGCGAGTTTGAGTCACTTGTACATCCAGGAAGTGTTCAGAATAGCAAAACAGAAGCGAAGAAACTCGACAGAGAGCAACATTTACACCTCACTGCCCACTAGCGTTTCGGAAGTGTTAATGCAGACCAACAGAGACAGCGCGCAGAAGTATGAATGCACTGCTGCGCGCGATGCCTGCGCCGTGAGTTGCGCCGGTCACTTGACGCAGAAGTATAAACCAGGCTAAGTCCCGATGCAGAACGAAGAGTGCAGGCTGGGGTGAGGAGAGTCACCAGGTCACAGATGTAACCGGGTGCTAGCCCATGCACTGCTTTGAGAGCTAAAATCAAGGTCTTAAAATCAATCCGTGATTTAATAGGAAGCCAGTGTATTTGTTGTAGCACAGGAGTAATATGGTGACGTGATACTTGAGAAAATCTTAACATCGGCATAAACTGGAAGCTGCAACCTTTTTTCTTTTTTCTTTTTTTCGTATTTTGATGCAGTTCTTATAGACACAGAATACTAAATGAGAAAGCAGTGGGCGTGGCTTGTTTTTTCTACTGCGAGCTGATTGGATGTAGTAAAGTAGGCATTTCATTCAGAAAGATCTGGAAAGTGTTTGGGAAGAATTATTATTACAACCTAACAGACTCCTCCAGCTCACCATTTCTGTTTGTTGTCAAAACTGACAGCAGGTGGGGCGTGGTTAAGTCTCTTAGCCACTCCCAATACCTCAGACTTAATCTGAGAATTTAACTGAAAAGCAACAGGAAGTGCATATACTACACGAACTGTAGTAGCAAACAAAGACACAAACCCCTCACTGCACATCAGCTGCACCTTCAGCAAACCTCCTAATCCGTGCAGCACAATGACTTTAAAGATAATTTATGAGTGTCAAAAGTGCTGGATCTGCTCTGCAAAATATTTGACTGTGTCGTCGCATCACAAACGACTAAAAATAATACAAAGCAATATAACTAAAGCAATCTCCAGTGTGCTGAGCATGAGCGCTTCTCTTCCTGTTGAACTGAACAGTCGCAACATAGTTGATGTAAGCTGGCTCCGGCTCGGAAGGTAAATTGCAGTGTGAGTGCAGTTCGTCAGGGGAGAGGAGAGGGAGGACAAGCGCGCTTCGGCACAGTTCAAGGCAAGTGTGCCTAGTGTGAGTACACCCTAAGCCTAAGGAGAATGAATGAATGAACGAATGTTTACTGCTCCATAATATTGCAAATGCTTCTTAAAATAAAATATATTATGTTTAATGTGGAAAAAAAGTTGTTGTTTTTTACCCAGACATATAAAAAGACAATATTTTAGGGCGGTAAATCACAATACCGTGATATTTTTATCAAAAGCTTATCATAGCCTCAGAATCATATACCAGTCCATGCCTAGCACCAGACCTCTGGTAAAGCTGAATTGGTGAATTGCTGAATGCTGTTTCTTTACTAACCCAGAACTCGCCCCAGGAGTTTCTGACGATCCAGTATTCGGTCCCGTCCTCTGTGACGCCCCATCCCGCCACTGAGATGATGTGATTGGGCATAGACAGAATGTGAAATTCAGCAAACACCCCTCCATCATACGCCTCCAGGCCTTTAGTGGCCATTATTGCACAGCTACAACACAGAGTAATGGAGAACATGTTTCAACTCAGTTCATCCATATACAGATGAAGTCAGAATTATTAGCCCCCCTACACATTTTTTTATCCCCATTTTCTGTTTAATGGAAAGATTTCTTTCAACACATTTCATTCATTCATTTTCTTGTCGGCTTAGTCCCTTTATTAATTCGGGGTCGCCACAGCAGAATGAACCATCAAGTTATCCAGCAAGTTTTTAATGCAGCGGATGCCCGTCCAGCCGCAATCCGTCTAAAGGGAAACATACACACACACACACACACACACACACACACACACACACACACACACACACACACACACACACTCATACACTACGGACAATTTAGCCAACCCAATTCACCTATAGCGCATGTCTTTGGACTGTGGGGGAAACCGGAGCACCCGGAGGAAACCCACGCGAACGCAGGGAGAACATGCAAACTCTACACAGAAACGCCAACTGAGCCGAGGATCGAACCAGCGACATTCTTGCTGTGAGGCGAACGTGCTACCCACTGCGTCACTGCGTCACCTCAACACATTTCTAAACATAATAGTTTTAATAACTCATTTCTAATGACTGATTTATTTTATCTTTGCCATGATGACAGCACATAATATTTGACTAGATAGTTTTCAAGATACTAGTATTCAGCTAAAGTGACATTTTAAAAGCTTAACTGGGTTAATTAGGCATGGCTAATTAAAATGATTTGTTCTGTAGACAATCAGAACAAAAATATAGCTTAAAAGGGCTAATCATTTTGAGCTTAAAATAGATTCTAAAAGTTCCAAAGTTCTGACTGGCAGATTCAAAACCCTTCTGAAATTTCTTAATTCCTTTTCACATTCTTTATTTAGTGTAGCAGCATAACCAATGCCATATATCGGCTTAAAAGGGGGGTGCACTTTTCACTACCAATCATTTCACTTTTTTATACGATATAGATAAAATAACAAAAAGGAATGTAAATATTAAATTAACATTAATCATAAAATAATCATGTGAACAATATTAATAACACAATTTGCACAAGTCAGGGGACGTCAAATATACACCTAATAGTCAAACTCTTCACTCAGCGGCCACTTTATTAGGTACACCTTACTAGTACGTGGTCGGGCCCACTTCTGCGTTTAGAACTGCCTTAATCCTTCGTGGCATAGCTTCAACAGGCTACTGGAGATTTTGCTCCATATTGACATGATAGCATCGTACTTTTGGTGCAAATTTGTCGACTGCACATCCATGATGTGAATCTCTCGTTCCACCACATCCCAAAGGTGCTCTATTGGATTGAGATCAGGGGACTGTGGGGGTCATTTGAGTACAGTGAACTCATTGTCATGTTCAAGAAGCTGGAAGTAGCCATTAGACGTCATAAAGGGATGGACAATACTCAGGTAGGCTGTGGCATTGACACAATGTTCAATTGGTACTAATGGACCCAAAGTGTGCCAAGAAAATATCCCCCACACCATTACACCACCACAAGGAGCCTGAATCATTAATACAAGGCAATATGGATCCATGCTTTCATGTTGTTGACACCAAATTCTAACTCCGACACCATCCGAATGTCACAGCAGAAATGGAGACTCATCAGACCAGGCAACGTTTCTCCAATCTTCAATTGTCCAGTTTTGGTGAGCCTGTGTGAATTGTAGCCTCAGTTTCCTGTCCTTAGCTGACAGGAGTGGCAACCGATGTGGTCTTCTGCTGCTGTAGCCCATCTGCCTCAAGGTTGGTTGTGTTCAGAGTTGCTCTTCTGCAGACCTCGGTTGTAATGAGTGAGTATTCGAGTTACTGTTACTTTTCTATCTGCTAGAACCAGTCTGGCCATTTTCCTCTGGCATCAACAAGGCATTTGTGCCCACAGAATTGCCGCTCACTGGATATATATATATATTTTTTTTTTATGTTTTACACAGCGGATGCTCTTCCAGCTGCAACCCTGTACTGGAAAAAAAACTGTATACTAAATAATATTAAATCTTTGTTCTTAGTCTGAAGAGGAGACTGTGAGAGAAAGCTTACTGGTTAATACATTTTTTAAAAAATGCGTACCTTTGAGATTAAAGCCAAGAGGTAAGTCTTTTACCCGTCTACAAAATCTGGATAAAGTAACCTTACATATTTAGTCCATTTGATCTGGATATTTCTGAATACATTCACATGCAAGATTTTAAGATTTTACCATGACATAAATGTCTTGGATTGACATGAATTCTGTATTAATTTATCAAATGTAAACACGTATTAGCACTGATTCTAAACATCCCCTTTTCAGTGAATATCAGCTGTCACCATCAGGAAAAAGACTGAGAATGCCAATGTGTAAAACTAATAGACTGAAGCTTTCGTTTGTTCCTACCTCCATAAAACTGTTGAACTGTACTAATAACACTGCTCCTGTAGTACGCTAGCACTTGACTGGGTTCTGTGTTTTATATATTTATACTTGTATACGGTCGTATTCTGTAAACAATGTATGTTCTTAACTGTTTGTTCTTAATTATTTTGTTTTATTTATTTTTACTGTCTGTTTAGACAATGTTGTAGCACCTTTTATGCCCAAGACAAATTTACACCAGGGACAAATAAAGTTTAACCTAACCTAACCTAAATAGTGCTCTGTTAATAAACTAATATAATAAACATTAATTTATTTGCATCATATTCCCTTTACTGCTGTTTAGGCTCAACAGTGAATCACTTGTTGCTCACTACTTGAATTTATTTATGTTTAAATGAAAACATCGATTGTAAAACTTGCCTGATTGGCCCATTTTTAAAGATCTCAGCCTTCATTCGGTCTCGTCCTGAAATGTCCCCGTAGTCTCCTACCTTCCACACTGTGTAGTTTTTAATAATGGAACAGGAACCAAAAAACGAGCATGTCCCACACTGATTAAACGGGTCACATTCTGCAAAAAATAAAGAAGAGTTTATACATTTAATATGCAAATAAGACATTTAAGATTTAAAATTTGCATGAAACAAAAGATGCAATCATGTTTAATTTGTTTTCAGTGGGACCTGTTCAAAGTTTTCACTCTGTTATATTGCAGCTGTAACAGGGTTATATTGTATCTCTCCACTTGCATACATTAAAATACTAATGAGAAGGAAGGGGTTAACATTTATTCATTGTTTTATATGTAGAGCGCCCCCTCTGTTACCTAAAAAGAAAGGAAATTCATTGTAGTATGTAGGAGGAAGCCATTGCACGAGGCTGGTAGATTAGATCTGCGCTCATTTTTCTGTTCTAACTGTTTTCACAACAATAAAATCGATAAAAGATATATCAGAGTGAATATTTATTTACACAACGCAGAAGAGACGCAAAAGACTAGTTACACAGCCATTTGCTAAAACCATTTAAGCTCATCATTTTCCTCATTGATGATACACACAGCAGCCCATATTGACAGAAAAACCCAGAACTGTTGACATTTTTGCAGATGTATTAAAAAAGAAAAGCTAAAATATCACTTATAGTATTCAGACCCTTTGCTCGGACACTCATATGTTGAACTTGGGTGCTGTCCATTTCTTCTGCTCATCCTTCAGATCGTTCTACACCTTCTTTTTAGTCTAGCTGTGTTTGCTTATACTGATTGGACTTAATTAGAAAAGCCACAAACCTGTCTATATAAGATCTTACAGCTCACAATGCATGTCTGAGCAGATAAGAATCATGAGGTCAGAGGAACTGCCTGAAGAGCTCAGAGACCGAACTGTGGCAAGGCACAGATCTGATCAAGGTACAAAAGAATTCTGCTGCACTTAAGGCTCCTACGAGCACAGTGGCCTCCATAATGTTTAAATGGATTGTGCAGTCAAACTGAGCTATTGGGGGAGAAGAGCCTTGGTGAGCGAGGTAAAGAAGAACCCAAAGATTACTGCGGCTAAGCTCCAGAGATGCAGTCAGAGATGGAAAAAACTTGTAGAAAGTCGGCGGCTTTATTGCAGAGTGCATGAAAGCCCACATGGAGTTTGCTAAAAAGACACCTGAAGGACTCCAAGATGGTGAGAAATAAGATTCTCTGATCTGATGAAACCAAGTTAGAACTTTTTTGCCTTAAAGAGCGCCCATTATACATAAAATAGGGTCATATTTTGGTTGTAAGGGTCTCCAACAACAGTCTAATATGCATGCAAGGTCAAGAAAACACTTTCATGATCTTTTAATATGCATTTATTTTTACCTAATTATCTCAGCGACACCCATATGAATCGTTCAGTGATTCATTTGTTCCCAAACCTCTCCTTAGCGCGAAGCTAATCTGCGCTGATTGGACCAATGACAGCCTGCTGCGATTGGTCGACACTGACTGCCTTCAGCGCAAGACAGAGTGAAATGCACAGCTTATCAACAATATAGAAGTATTCAGAGTGCAAACACGCTTCATATTAGTGTAAGGTGTGGATTTTGGCTGCCAGTGGGTTAATGACAGATGATGGACTTCAAAAATACAGACGAATAGGAATTGTAGCCTCAGTTTCCTGTTCTTAGCTGACAAGAGTGTGGTCTCCTGCTGCTGTAGCCCATCTGCCTCAAGGTTGGACGTATTGTGCGTTCAGAGATGCTCTTTTGCAGACCTTGGTTGTAAAGAGTGCTTATTTGAGTTACTTTTGTCTTTCTATCAGCTTAATCAGTCTGTCCATTCATTCTCTGTAAACCCTAGATATGGTTGTGCGTGAAAATCCCAGTATATCCGTAGTTTCTGAAATACCAGCCCATCCCATTCTGATGCTCGGTTTGAACTGCAGTAGATCGTCTTGACCATGTCTACATGCCTAAATGCATTGAGTTGCTGCCATGCAATTGGCTGATTAGAAATTTGCGTTAACGAGCAGTTGAACAGTGCATACATGCAACTTGTACGAGATTTTCATTGCAACTCTGTGTGTTCTTGCAGACTCAGAGTTTGAAGACTTACTTTGGTTTCGAGCCTGATAGTTATTGCAGGTCTCATCAGGAATGCCATGCTCATTTGCATATGCGTAAACACCCAGATGATCTCCTCCAAAGCATGACCCCGCCTTGCCACAGTCGATCACGTTCTGCACTGACAGGTATGCAGAAGGCCACGCCCCCTTCCTCTTAATGTTGATGCGGTCTAAATTAGGAATAAGGCAGAATAGCTTGTTGAATGACTCAATGCTGATGTACTATACTATTTACTGGTACTTTGTTTTTACCTGCGAGAGCACTAGTGGAGCCCATAGCCCAGCATGAGCCACAGTATTGTGGGATGTGTTGGTTGCGGGTGATGCTCACATAGTTTTTCCCATCAATGTTGCGCCAGTCCCAGGAGGCGGGGAGATCAGAGACGTTTAAATATTCATGTGGACGGGCATATGTCCTAAAATATGAATTATTACTATTACTATTGTCAATGTCTTACCAGTTTGTTCAATGATAGAGAATATAATATACAGTTGAATGCAAAATTATTCTCCATCCTGCGAATTTTTTCTTTTTTATTATTATTTTTTTAAT